GCTGATTTTCGCCATGAAATCTCTGAATATGAGCGGCGAGATAATCGAGAGCTGTCTGATACACTACGCGAAGAAGTACATTCCCGGGATCTCACGCGCCGCCAGGAAGCAGCCGCCGGCGACTTCTTCCTCCGCCGCCGCCCCGACGGAGAGCGAGCAGAGGGAGCTTCTGGAGACAATCGCGTGCAACCTCCCGAAGGAGAAGACCTCGCCGTCGTCCCCGAACATTACGCGGCTGCTCTTTGGGCTGCTCCGGACGGCGTACATACTGAACGCTTCAGATGGTTGCCGGCTGACGCTGGAAAAGAAGATCGGGTTGCAGCTGGAGCACGCGACGTTGGACGATCTGCTTATCCCGAGCTACTCGTATTTGAACGAGACGCTGTACGACGTGGATTGCGTGGAGCGGATTTTGGGGTTTTTTCTCGAAGGATTGGAGGAGAGATCCGCCGCGATTAGAGCAGAGGGCGAGGATGATGAAGGCGCCGGAGTTAGATCCGCCGGGCTAATGCTTGTCGGGAAATTGATCGACGGCTACCTGTCGGAAATTGCCTCCGATGCCAACTTGAAGCCGGAAAAGTTTTACGATCTGTCCATTGCACTGCCAGATCACGCCAGATTGTTCGACGACGGGCTCTATCGGGCCGTCGATGTTTATCTCAAGGTGAGTGAGCAATATCGATTACTAGATTGTGTTAGAAAAATCGTGATTATTGTGTTTTCAATTATTATTTGTGTTCGATTTTATGCTTTAATTTGGGTAGGCGCATCCATGGATCTCGGAATCGGAGCGAGAGAAAATCTGCGCCGTTTTGGATTGCCAGAAGCTGACGCTCGAGGCGTGCACCCACGCCGCCCAGAACGAACGGCTGCCGCTGAGGGCGGTGGTGCAGGTGCTGTTTTTCGAGCAGCTCCAGCTCCGCCACGCCATAGCAGGAACCCTCCTCGCCGCCGACACTGCGGGCGACGGCGGGGAACAGTCCAGTGACGGCGGAGGGGAGGACGAGGAGGCGGCGGTGGGGCCGACGCGTGGGAACGCGACGTGGAGGGCGGCGGCGAGGCAGAATGAGGTGCTGCGGCTCGACATGGACACGATGCGGACGCGGGTGCACGAGCTGGAGAGGGAGTGCACGACCATGAAGAAGGCGCTGGAGAAGATAGACAGGGCTGGTGGGGCCAAGGGACACGTGGAGAGAGGCGGTTGGCGAGCTATGTTCGGGTGCAAATTCAAGACGCAAGTGTGCGATTCACATGAATCCACGGTGGTGGACACCAGAAAGTCCCACCGCGGCCACCGCCGGGAACAGTAACGGCCCAATTAAATTCAATTTCTTCATTTCCCTCATGGCTTGGATTTTTTATTTTTCACATTATCTAAGTTTTGGTTTTGGCATTATGTGAATACGGTTTTATTAATGGAATTTATGTGTTGATTTCTTCAAATTAATACGTAGAATAAATGGACTGTGTAGGTACTAGGTAGGAAGATGCTACGATTTCGTTATCGAACTATTTTGTCCAGATTTGTAAACGTTAGATCAACTATTTTCGACGGTTACATGATAATCTAACGGTTACAAACTACGACAGAATGGTTTGTAACAAAACCGTAACATTTCCGATATAGAATATATAAAAACATAAAATGGGTTCTTTATGAGAAAATTTTTAAAATATATATGGTGTCGAATTTTGGCTGGTAGTAAAAAATAATCAAATACACGAAGTGGTCTCTGCTTTTAAGGTTAGTGGTTTGTGGGGGTGACTCCCAGTTGATTTTGGGTTACTTTATGATAGGTTGTTGTCCAATTGCTGTACAGGCAAATGGTTTAAAACGCAACAACTGTATTATTGTCAATTAGTATTCTATGATGATTCTATCTGACGCTTTTGTTAGACTAATGATAAATTCTTCTTTTCGTTTCCTGATTTAGAACAATTTACTTTATTCTTTTGAATGAATATAAAAAACTCACGAGTAGATGCGAAATGCTAAGGTCCAGTTACGGAACTATTCTGTCGGGATTTGTTACCGTTAAATCATCATGTAACCGTCAGATATAGTTGATTTTTTTTTTTGGTACAATCAGATATAGTTGATTTAACGGTTACAAACTCTGACGGCATAATTCCGTAACTGGACCGTAGCATTTCGCCACGTAGATATGATGAATTCCACAAATATTATGCAATAAAATATTTTCAATTTAATACCTTTCTTAAGGATGAAAAAAAAAGGACTCAGCAGCGCTACAACTTTATGTTTGTGCCTAAAAATCCAATAGTCTTATGTTTGGTAAATATATTTAATATAATAAATTAAGTGAAATAGAAAATTCAACAATTTTTTTCTTTTTTTTTTGTAGAAGTTACTAAAGAAGTGCTTATTAAAAATTTATAAAATTCCGAGAACTAATAAGAGACTTATACATATTACTTTACTTTTTGAACATTTTTACAAAATACAATATTCAAAATAAAATCATATAAATCACTAATAATTTTTTCATAAACAAAACAATACAACAATTTAGAAATCAATAACCAAAATAAACCACAAATCAATAGTTCACAACATTATATCTTCTTTTAAAAGGAATTATACAAATGTGGAAATAAAATAAAATTTGAAGGTAAGTCATCTCAACCAACAAGCAGCATGTATTTATTAAATAGGACCCCGTGACTGGAAATAAATACGAGTACACTAGGCCTGAAGGAAGCAGATACTCGTGAAAAATGGGCCAATAGTATTAAAGAAATTTATTCGTGTAGGATGGGCTTTCTAAGGGAACACGTGAACCCGGCCCAAGTAAAGTGTGAATTCCTTTTTTTTTTTTTTTTTT